CGACATTCTGGGTAATTTTAACTATTTGTAATTATTTTAATTAACTGGAACGTGGCTATCTTGGACAAAGTGAAGTTTTGTGTGTTGGTGATTTCTTTTTCTACTATAAATGCCTCTGATGATGGCTCCGTGGTGAGCCGAAACATGTAAGGCAGGTGCTGACGAGGTGGAAAACTTAAAAAAGTGTCACATTTGACGGAAGAAACTTGATTGTTAACCTATTGAACACTTTGGATTTTGCTGCATACTAACTTGGAGAGTGGGAGGCTAATTTTGCTGCATACTAACTTGGAGAGTGGGAGGCTACAGTATTGCCTGATTTTAATGTTCTGTCCATTCAATTGTTTGAAGGATTTAAGAAAAACTAATGCATTTTGTAACACTTCCTCAACAGTGATTTAAGAAAGAAGTATAAACCTTTAACACAGCAGACATGTTTCACTAGAAGACTGGGAGGCTATGGTGTTGTTGACTTTCAATGTTCTCACTAATTAAAAACACTGAGAAACAATGAATTTTCCAGCCTTTCTCCCACAATATCAATGCAGTAATATCTACTCATAATATAAGATACCTAACAAACAATACAGGCCATGCCATAGCTCAGGCGACTAGTCGCTGGCTTCCCACTGTCACGGCTTGGGTTCCAGCCCATGTGGAATTTGTGGTGGACAAAGTGGCACTGGGGAAGATTTTCTACGAGTACTACGGTTTCCCCTGCTACTTATTCCACAGACTGTTCCACATTCATCATCATCTATAACCCTGGGCTGGTACAATAGGCCAATTAGTGGCCAACATACCAAGTGGACTCAGTCTTACCCCACCCCAAGAAACTAAAAGAACTAACAATATCAAAATTCAATAATGAGTGACCTAGGAAACAAACAGAAAGGTTATTGCACAGGTACCAACAAAATTGTCCGACTACCGCAAACAACGTGACGTACCCAACCTTAACCATATTATTCATATAAATTGAATGATACTGCCTGAACTTTGTGGTGAAGTTCTATGCATCCCGTTTTCTTGAGCATATTTTCAACAGCATCGATGTCTTCGTTGACTTGTATCCTTGAGTGTACAGACATCTTAAAAGTTCTAGTACATACAGCACTTACGCATACATACAGTCAATGTAAAAAGTGAATTTCGAATTTGATGATGGTCTTACTACATTTCTTACCCTATAACATACCATAACATACTAACGATCGTAACCGATCGTATTCTAACATAATTCTGTGTTGGCCATCCTGTACACGGGTTTTACGCTTTCGACAATTCGACAACATAGCAAACTTATCAATACGTAGGAAATCTATTGCCGAAGAATTCAACGTGACTGAAACACCGAAGTCTCAGTATCTCAGTATGTACCGGTATGTAGTAGTGTGTATACTTTGTAATGATTTAGGTTATGAATTTAGTTTCATTGTAGAACAGTTACGCAGACAGTACGAAAAATCACATCGTAAGAGGTTAGAGGATTAATATTGGTTTTGTTGTTAAATGTTGGAAGAAGGATGTGTTGTGTGAAAGGTAAATGTGAAGTTGTTCCAGTGTGTAATTAATTAAGCAGTGCGCCATGAAGTCGTATGGGGAAAGGAGGTATAGCTCGAACATTCTTGAGCTCTGCGCTAGATGTATGTGAGTGGTCAGATGCACGCCTGTGCCGCTTTAACTCCTAGCGAAAGGAGCCTCGAGTACTCCTTTCATACTAGTCTGGGTGGGCCCAAGAGCTAGTCGGGACATTTCAGAGAAGAGAAAAATTTCTTGCCCCTTTTGGGAATCGAAACCCAGACGGCCAGCCCGGGCCCTTAGTTGTACCGACTGAGCTATCTCGGCACCATGAATGTTTTGGGTGAGTATTTTTAATTTTAATCCCTAAGTATGTTCTTTCAATGACCATTCTACTGGGAACAGGTAATTATTATCAGAAAATATAAACATGGTTTTTTGAACATCTGGACTTTTTAACGTAGTAATAATATTAGCTATTAAAACGTCATACCAAAGTAGGTAATTGTAGCAGTACATTGCATAAATGCTATGTACAAGACTCTTTAGAAATCTTTTAGCTCAACGTGATTCTTTGGATAAACGACCAAAGCGAAAGAAAATGGGTATGAGATTTGGTACTTGGAATGTTAGAGGTATTTATAAGGCAGGCTGACTCAGGATCCTCAGGATAGTGGCAGAAGAAATATCAAAATATAAGTTAGATTTAGTGGGAGTACAGGAGTCAGATGGGACAGAGGTGGCACCGAACAAGAAGACGAATATACATTTTTCAGTGGATATGGAATGAGAGTAATGAATTAGGTACCGGTTTTTTCATACATAAGAGAATAATATCAGCAGTTAAGAATGTAGAGTTTGTTAGTGATAGGATGTCATACATATGTGTAATACTAAGAAGTTGCTGGTGTGATATCGTCATTCTGAATGTTCATGACCCAACAAGATAAAATTGATGATATAAAGGACAGGTTCTATAAACAACTAGAACATGTATTTGATAAATTCCCTAAATACCACATGGACATTTTGTTAAGAGATTTCGATGCCAAAGTAGGTATGGAAGACATTTTCAAACCAACAGTTGGGCATGAGAGTTTGCATGAAATTAATAATGATAATGGAGTAGTAAACTTTGCTACATCAAAAAATCTTACTGTCAAAGTACGGTGTTCCCATATTGTAACATTCATAAATGTACTTGGACATCTCCTGATGGGAAGATATACAGTCAAATCGACCATATTTTCATAGGAAGGAGCCGGCATTCCAGTATACTTGATGTCTGATCATTCAGAGCAAAAGATTGTGATACTGACCACTACCTGGTGGTGGCAAAAGTTAGGGAAAGACTGGCAGTGAACAAAAAACAGTGCACAGAGTTCGTATGGAGAGGTTCAATCTCAAGAAATCAAAGGAAGTAGAGGGTAAGGAACAGTACTGTGTTGAAATCTCAAATAGGTTTGCAGCTTTAAAGACCTTAGACACTGAGATGGATGTTAATAAGGCTTGGAAAACTGTTAGAGAGAGTATCAAAATTTCTGCCAAGGAGACTCTAGGTTATTATGAACTGAAGAAGAATAAACCCTGGTTTGATGAAGGATGTTCAGAATTACTAGACCAAAGGAAACAAGCCAAACTGCAGTGGTTACAGGATCCAAGTGAAATAAATAGGGATAATCTGAACCATATATGATGTGAAACCAGCAAGCATTTCAGGAATAAAAAGAGGGAATATACGAAAGACAAAATTGATGAGCTTGCAGTGAACAGTAGGAGCAAGAACATTACTAGAGACATAGAGACCTGTATAGAGGAAAAAATTACTTTAAGAGGGGTTACGAGCCTAGCAGTAACTTAGTGAAGGATGATAATGGTGATCTACTTGCAGATTCAGACAACATTTTGAATAGGTGTATGAAGTACTTCTCTCAGTTATTTAATGTACATAGGGTCAGAGATGTTAAGCAGATAGAAATATGTACAGCTGAGCAGTTACTACCTGATCCTAGCCCTTTTGAGGTTGAATTTGCTATTGAAAGATTGAAAAGATATAGATTGCCAGGTATTGATCAAATTCTGCCAGAACTGATTGAAGCAGGAGGTGAAATATTATGTTCTAAGATCCATAAGTCAATTAATTATATCTGGAAGAAGTAAAAATTGCCTGTTCAGAGGACAGAGTCTGTTATTGTACTAGTTAACAAGAAGGGTGATAAAACTGACTGCAGTAATTATCATGGGATATCATTGTTATCAACTTAATACAAAATTGTATCCAGTATTCTCTCAAGGTTAAGGCCATATGTAGATGAAGTTATTGGGGATCAGTAGTGTGGGTTTTGACATAACAGATCAACTACAGATCAGAACTTAGCATTCATCTGATACTGGAGAAAAAATGGGAGTACAATAAGACAGTACATCAGCTGCCCATAGATTGCAAGAAATCCTATGATTCAGTTAGAAAGGAAGTATTGTACAGTATTCACATAGAGTTTGGGTACCCATGAAACAAAAAAGTTTGATTAAAATGTGTTTGAACGAAACATATAGTAAAGTCTGTGTAGGTAAACATTTGTCTGATAATTTTCCTATTCAGAATAATTGAAAACAAGGAGATGCTTTATTGCCATTGCTTTTCAACTTTGCTTTAGTATGTGCCATTATTAAGGTCCAGGAAAACCAAGTGGAACTGAAATGAAATGGGACACATCAGCTGTTTTGGGCCTATGCTGATTATGTGAATCTCCTGGGTGATAATATAGATACCACAAAGAAAAACGCATAAACCTTCATTGACGCTAGTAAGGAAGTTGGTCTAGAAGTAAACTCAAAGAAAACTAAGTATATATTACTGTCTTGTCACAAGAATTCAGGGTAAAATCATGACATAAAGATAGGAAACAGATGTTTTGAAAATGTGGCACAGTTCAGATATTTGGGAACAACTATAACAAATCAGAACCTGATTCAGGAGGAAATGAAGGGGAGATTGAACTCGGGTAATGCTTGCTACCAGTCAGTTCAGAACCTTTTGTCATCTTGTCTCCTGTCTAA